CGCTGTGTTACCACCATTATTTTCAGGAAAAAATCAAATGGATTGCCGCATAAATAATAACAACAGTCAGCATAATAATAACAATAGTGTTGCATTATGCATGTACTATGTCTAAATAGAAGGCAGGGTTTGACACATAGTGCACTCGCCTCCGGCAACAAAGTTCTACAGCCTATTTTAAGCTTATAGGCCACAGCCAAGGTCATTGACTTTTGTGTCATTTGAAGGAACTTAATTAGTGTAATATGCATACCAAATATAAAGTCTCTATATTTCATATTTCAAAATATATGGTGAAAGTTTGTCTATCTGTCTGTTGTTAACTTTAACCTTCGCCACAACTTTTGATCCATTAAAATGGAGACTACATATTTGGTATTCTTACTCCATTATATGACATTATATGCATCTTAAATTAAAAAGACCTTACACTTTATAAACCTTGCTAATTACCTCAATTATATACATTAATAGTAAACACTGTAATTAGTAAAAAAGAGAAACATGAATTACTTAAATTACTGAAATATATACATGTACCATTGTTTTTAATTGATGTTTAATTTAATATACCCAAAGTTTCATGGTATACAAGTTTATATTATTGACCTTTGACATTTCATTTAAAAACATTAATTGACACTGGAAGATTTTACTCATAAAATAAACAGCTAAATATCTTGTCTTCTCATTTTAAAAATATATAGAACAAATATATTTGCAAGTCTATATGTAAGTACATTTGTAAAGGGGGTTTTGACCACAGAATTTAAGTTATATTCAGTTCAAATTATTATAATCGGTATGAAATTAATTTTTCATTGAATGTAATGAATACAGTGTTGTCAGCAAACGCAGTACATGTATACTAAAATTTCCGCTTTTTGAACACAAAGAATTTACCTTCAGAAACAAACCATTTACTTGTCACCTGACAGAAACAACTGGTCAAAGGATGCGCTGTGTTTTTTTTTTGTAATTATGGAAATTCATTTTCATGTAACCTGTAGGATATTGTGAGACAGTGTACTGTTATATTGCTTGTTAAATGTATCTTAGCATTGTAAACTTAGATCGTCAAACTCATGACACAGGACAGCCATATCATTTTAAACAGTTTTCTAATGTTGAAGACATTCTTAAAATTCTAGGTTATTAAATCTGTTGTTTCAAATCAAATTATGTTTTATTCAAATGTTAAATAATATTTTAATCCTGTTTTTTTAAATATAAGTAAAGACTTTGAATGTTTGTATTCCGTCCTCATTATCGCTTTCTTTGCATCAAATGCTTAATGGTTCAATAGAAGGATTTATTAGTTAAAGCAATATGAGCTATAACTTTAATTTGATGTCGGAATTTTTTTTTCGCAAAACTCTAATTAATTATTTCAAAACAGAGATAAAGAATATTTATAATTTGGAGTTGTTCATATTTGTAACGAGAGAAGTTTTAATAAACTAAGGTTGAAGCAAAATAGCAATATTTTCGTCCTGTACAAAATTGATTTCTTAATTAAACAATGCTACATAATTGATCGAAAAGGTTTTCTTCCGAAACAGTTAAATACTTTATTTTAGTCTAATTTAATATAAAAATTTAATTTACATTTTAAAAAAATCAAAATACATAAAACTGAATTTATCGCCAAAATAAAATTCTTTAAAATGCAGTTCATGTTGTTTTAAATAGATATTTGCACAAGTGTTACAGGCTCAAGGGGGTTACTCTCCCAGAAGTATATAGAAGGAGACGACGGGATACATAAAGATCTAACAAAGAATAGCTGTCTGATTCATGTACTTGTGTTCAATTTTTGATGGAATTTTCCGCGATTGCTCTTGTTTATTTGGTGTTTTCACCAATTCTGAATGTACAAAATAAATTCAATATTTGAGCAATTACATTATCATATTAAAAGTGTCAATCTGTTTTCGGCATCATTATTTGCATAACCTGTCTTTAAAAATATCGATCTGACATTATCCACATTTACTACGAATATATTTATCAACGAGTATAGTTTCTTTTTTTATAACAATCTGTTTTCGGCATTATTATTTGCATAACCTGTCTTTAAAAATATCGATCTGAATTATCCACATTTACTACGAATATATTTATCAACGAGTATAGTTTCTTTTTTTATAAATATGACTTCAGAACAGCCTTAGATAAACGCTAAAATCAGTATTTTAGGTTCTTTTCCTTTTTTAATCAACGTCAATGATATGGCTTCCAGTATTGATCCTGACTGCAAACCTATTTTATATGCTGATAATAGTGCAATCTCATGCTCTACTTATGAACGATTTTAAAACGAGGTAAATTATTGACAAGCAAGTTGATGAAACAAGAATATCAGCAGTCTCGTTTAAAGTCATCATTTTGTAAGTTCTATCGTCGATACAATGACCATGTCAGCAAATACAATTTATCATTGCGTCAAATGCTGACTGACATTTTTATACTTATTGTTAAACTATTGTTTGTACACTGAATTGACGACAGATTTTTCCGTTATTTCCTGACTACGACAAGGAGCACAGGCCAGTGTAACCGGTCAGCAGGAGATGCTCACTCCTCCATGGCACCTGATCCCACCTCTGATGTTTCGGAGGTCCGTGTTTGCTCTGCTTTTATTTTGTATTGTTTAATGGACTTTGAGATTGAATAATGCTCGTTATCTACATATCCTTATCTCTCATAATAATGCAGATTATATAACAGAGAAACTTTGTACTGTTTTAAACAGTGTTAAATTTGGCTTGTTGATTTTATGATTATAATTTACCACACCTGTGGAAAACTAAATGTATTTTATTTGCATTAAGAAACTTACATATGTTCAAGATTTTCATATTGTGTGTAATGGACATACAATTCATTCTATGGAAAAATAGAAGGTATTTAATAACTTATTACCAAATTTTGTACGTAATATAAGAATTGTGCGATATCTTTTGACCATGGTTGCAATTTTAAGATTTATTGCATAAAATTTTCCACCAAAGGAAATCACAAAATTTTTGATTTAAGTCCAATTAAATGCACCTTGAATTTAATTTTCAAGTCTCTGGGCAGTACATAATTTTTAAATATATTGTAAAAAGTAGGGCTGGGCAATAATATCGATATTTCAATACATTGCGATACAATGACAAAAAATGTCGTATCGCAATACTATTTTGTAATATCGATATATAGGCAATATACTTAGATTAAGGGTCCTTAAATATGAAAATGAATTATGAAAGTTTGATATTAAGCCAAACAGTAAAACAGAAGTTGTTTTGTGGGTACATTTCAGAGTAAAACTTCAATGAAATCAACAAGAATTTTTTTCTGTGTTGGTTATTTATCATAGTTATGTACATTCTGCATGTTAATTAAAGTAAATATAGTAAGGAAATGCCATATAAATTACATTGAAAATATTGCAATACATATCGCAATACAGTTAAAAATATCGCAATATCTCGCAATATTTATTCCCATATGAGTGAAAAATTCTCGAGAGGGACGTTAAACAATATACAATCGACCAATCTTTCTTTATTCAATGTCATCTACATTATACTTGCTGTGCATGCTACATGTATGCAAGTTTGTCAAAAAGTTTGAAGAAGAAGTTACAAATATATATATATATAAACAGTGGCGAGATATCAATGTATACTAAATCTATCACCTTTACATTCCATAAACTTTAAAGTGCTTAGTTCATCAAATTTATTTAATATGGAAGATCAAGTATGACTCAATGTAAACCATGTGTATAATTAATTATATAATAGCTTTTCGCAGTCTTATTTAAGTCAAAAATTTACCTTTAAAATCAGTTGTGTCTTCAAAACACTACAGCATCCTGAAATGATGTTTTTTTTTAGGAAAGCAACACGGACGATAATGACAATAAAATTATAAAAGGACTTGTTTGTCGGAATTCTAAGATGTTGAGTCAATTGCGAGTTGTAATACTTAAAAAAATAAGAATTTAGAGGACATGTCTTGCATCTTTCTTTTAAAACGTATAGCGTCGTCGAAAGAAACGTTGGGCTTTTTTTTCTACATAACGAAGAATCAGAACTTTGTCTTATTTATATCCATTGTTTTATTCAATAGCTGTCATGATACTTTTAATGTATATACACCAGAAATCCGTAAAATATTTCTTGGGAAAGGTTCAGTGCATATTTATGCAAATAAAACGAGCTATTGAATTATCTAGAAATGCACTGACGACAGATTTTGTACTCCAAAGTCTAGATTTTCTACACAGGAAAAAGTGATTGAAAACCACATCTGCTTACGACCAGTGCTACCAGATATTAGTACTAGAGGAATATTATTTGTACAGTCTAATTTCCCCTTTGCCAGAAGATCTTGATGTATGATCATCGTAAAACCACTGATGACCAGGACCACTTCGGGTTAGATAAATAATTTCCGTTCTTAGACTCTAACAATTTCAAGAACACGATGCTAGCAGTCTGAAGCATAGCAGCATGAGTAAATGAAATCCTGATTAAAAGAAGACAGGAGTTTAAGGGATGCTGCTAATGAGTTGGAAGATCTTGGAAACCAAATGGAAATGTCGTCATTCAAAGAGAAGAGATAAACAACTGACAACCAATACTTGAGTAGCTGAGTCAAATATTATGATAGTGTTAACGTGTTCAGCTAAGCTCTCGATTGATCTTGATTTGTTAAATTCTTGCTGAAAGTTTGAGAGATAAACTTCAAAAGTAGTTGAATGTTTTTCATGAATTCTTTACAATAAAAGTCCATTTAAAATAATTAGAAATTTTATAAAAGTTGCTTATATTAATATACAAGCCTTTTTCTAACACAAGGGTGCTTCATATGTGGTTGAATTGTCACCCTATGGTTCATGACAACATGAAAAATATTTTCTTAGAAAATGAATAAACAGAACAGACATACGGAGGTTGCACATTCTTTGATGAGAAAAGCTTACTTGGTTCTTTAAATATACATTCATGGTAAAGCTTTTTATTTCGAACAATTCAATGAAATTATAAAATGACAAATTTTAAGAGTGATAATGACAAATGTGATTTTAAATACAAGTAGCATTATTTTTACGATTATCATGCAGGTTTCATGAATTGCTAAGAAAAATACATTTCACATGTACAAAGCCAATTAAATGCTCTTTAACAAAAAAAAATGCACATCGTGAAAGTATAAGAATATACAACAAAAAGATAAATAATAAAAAATATCATCACAGCATGCAAAGTATAGTGTAAACAGTTTATGTAATTTTTTTCGTTTATGTATTTATTACACGTTGTAATGTTCTGGTATTCTTTACTTCACTCTTTTGAATATGCTTTCATTTTTTTACTGACACCTACAATAGGATGTCATGTATAGCTACAATGATATTTCGTTTTCATTTTTTAACAACGGATCTTCACTTTGATCTACATTGAACTTCAAAAAATGTCGGTTGATATGTTAAATATTGAAAGACAACAGTTGAGTAACTCTCCAAAACTGCTCAGTGTCAGCTTAGCACTAATAATTGTTTTCTCGATTCCTGTAATCCCGTTGACCAGAGTGTCACCGACCTCTTGGAATGTTTCAATTTTGGGAATTTTCTCCGACGTCAAGGTGCCTTCTCCACCCAGGGACATTCATGTCCCTCGTCGAGTCATAGTCATTGAAGGCACGTCGAGTAGACCTGTTGTAAATAAGGTAATTATAATGTCGGTTAATCTTGTCCAAAATTTAAAAAATCATATTTTTCAAATGTGTACTTTTTTGTTTGGTAATACTTAGTATTCAAGGTTATTCAAAATTTCTTAAAATAAAAAAAGTGTATATTTGTTTTGTTTTTTTTTTCATGTGATTAAAGGTTTGATGTTTATTGTTTAATTGGAAAAATTACTTACGATCGACACCGACAGACAAGAAAGACAACAAGTAATGTCACAAGAACAATGGAGGAAGCTGCAGAAACAGTGATGATAAAAGCAAGACTGGTAAATGGATCCTTGGTTGTTGGCGTCAACGTGGTTAAAATACAATCTTTAAATAATATTCAAAATTAATTTTCTAAATTTCCTACAACTGTTCATGATTCTTGATTATAAATCTATTATTTGAACAACTTTCCGTTTCTATTAAAAAAAACAAACAAAATATTAAAGTTCATATATATTTATTGGTCCATTTAAGTTCACTCAATCAAAAGTAAAACAGTGTAAGTTAAAAAAAGATACAAAATGAAACCAGCCATGAAGGAAACACTTAAAGCAACATATACTTTATTTCATTTTACATTCACATTGTAGGGATTGTTAAAATGGAAAATGATTTTGCAAAAACGGTCAAGGGTGATAAAAAAAAACAGCTGGATTAAATTCTGAATTGTTAAATTTGCTATCAAAATTTACATGCAATAAGATATCAAACATCTAATGACTACTTAAGCACCACTAGTGGTCACCAATTGTATTTTCTTTTTTGTCTTTTGTTTGATAAAGATATCTTTAATCAAAGTAGAATTCTTAATCGCACCAGTTAATGCCTAAAGGCAGCTTTGATGCAATAGTGCAATAGATAGTGAAAACAGCAGATATGAGATATGATTTAATTCTTATGAAATGTAAAATTTAGTAACAATCTTGTATTTAAAAAAAATTACCTTCATGCAATGACCACTCAAACTTCTGACTTGAAGGATAGCAAACCTCACAGATGTTTCCCGGTTTGAAAGCTCCATTTCTTATACATGTGTTGTCAATAAAACAATAATCTGCCTATATGTGGGGTAAGAAATAATCAGTTCCTATTATTATTCCTTGTAATGCAATTCATAGGTTTTAATAAATTATTTATGTAGCATCCACCATTATATAATAAATAGGTGTTCTTTTTTGTGTTTAGTTAAAATTGAAGTGTATTCAACATTGTATCATATTTACGTGTATTTATATAAAGGTTACCTTAAGGTTGACCTGTTCAGCACCGTTTACATAAGAAATCTGCTGGCATTCAGATTGATATTTGTATATCGAATAAGACGGGGAGAATTGATTCCTATCGTAGGAGATTTTGAATGTAAACTTCGTAATCCAGGTCACCCTATTGTCCTCAGGCAAAGGACATGCTCCTTGAAATAACGTACGGTCATCTAGAGGTTCTTCAGTGTCGGAGGTATACACGATTGTGTTGTTATGATGCACCTAGATAAGAATGGTAAAATGTAACATTGTTTAGGATTTCAAAAAAATATTCAAAAGTCAAAAAAGATGTATTTTCCCAACCAAATTTCAAGACTCATCTTACTTCGCTTTTGAAAGAAGGGAATGCATTTAAAAACAAAAAATTATTACATTATTTGTAGTTAAAAACTTTTAATAAAAATGTTCTTCTATATACATGTACCTACCAACTCTCTTCTAATAAAACATGTTTTCTTAATATTCTCAAGGAAGTATCTGCCTTCTAGGAGAACCTCGGAACAGGTACGTGAAGATAAATCACAAGTTCTATTTGGTGCAGTGTAAAGGATAGAGGGGGGTGATCGGACATTGAAAGAGCAGTCACTTCCTCCAAACCCAGAATCACACGTGCAGTTACCTGTTGGGTATTAGTTTTTAAATATTTTAAATTTATCCAGGTCGACACAAACAAACAAGGATTTACATACTTTCAGTCTGTAAACTGTGCTGAAAACTAAATGAAATTCTTCAATTTATTCATTTTGGGACCAGGTTCAGAAATTAACATGAACTGCACAGCTTACAAAAAGTATGTTTCTTAATACTTTTCTCAGACAATCAACAGTCAACAGTTGTTTTTTTCAGATTACATGCTTCTGTGTGTTATGATTATCGTTATAATTTATAAATATGTATAACCTTCCGTGCAGACTCCATGACCACTACAGTTATTTGAACACAGAGACTGGAGTTGATACGTGACATCAGGCTGCTCCGTTTTTAGTGTGGTGTTCAGGTCAAGAAATTGAATGCACTGCTGAAAGGCTGCTTCAATATGGATAACTGGAATGTTTACATCCCCAGTCAACTGAAAATTAAATTCACCAAAATTATTCTTCTACACCAGAACATTAATAAATCGATGTCTAAAATGACCATGAAAGGATAGTTACTCTGACGTCCATGATGCAGTTCGATAGAGAGGAGTTGGTCATGTCGCTGACATACTGCTCGCATGTCCGGAATGGCGCTGAACTGATAAACGCAGATTTACAGACATCCTCAGCTATGGTCTGGTTTGTCACGTAAATTGTTAGTTCCCGCTTTTGTCGACTCTATAAATAATTAATTACATGATATGTAATCATCTTGAATTTAATAATTCTATAAATTATAATATATTTTATATTGTACTCACAATGGCGATATTTCCTTGAGCAGAAGATTCCAGATTACTATTTAGTTGAACAGCCCTCTTTTTACGTGTTGGTTGCACCTGATTTATTATTCGAGTGCAATGGAACTGCTTTCCTTTAGGTTTGGAACATTGTGAGGATGTCTGATAAGAACACTGCTCCCCGCTGATAGGACAAGTACAAATTTTATCAAGAGTACTGGATATCGAAGGACGATCTGATGGTACACCGTTTAAGATGCTTTCGTGGTTTTGGACGCTGAGACAAAAAATCAAATGGCATCTAATAATTTTAAATACATATTTTGTGTGTCAGGTAATTTTACATGAAATTTATTCAACGTTGCATAATTATGAATGGAAAAGAACATTTTTTTGTCAGAGAATGTATAAAAAGAACTTAATAAAAAGCTTTCAAAGATTTATTACATCCATGATCTAGAAAAATCATCAGGATAATCCAAGTTAAGACTGCTTCCACTTTTGTTTGTGAATTCGTTCTCTCTATCTCCATCTAACGTTCCACAGAGACCCTCAGTGTTGTTGACATCAGCCAAGGACGGGTAGATATCTAGGTCTATCTGCCATGATCCTTCAACAGGCCATTCAACCAAAGATACAGACACAGAGGTTCCAGTAGGAAGTAGTACCTAAACATTCATGTGTAAGATTGTTACTTTCTTTTAATTGAGTTCATTTTTCTCATGTGATAAAAATATATTTGCTTTAATAAAAAATACAAACATATTACATAACAATTTACATTGCAACTATTTTTAATAAAGTAACTGTAACATCGCAAGCATCAGTAATATTGCATTGTAAGGTGTTTTGATATAATACATCTGTTGATAACAGACCTTATAGTTTTTGTCCGTAATTTTGTATACTTCAATGACGTTATCTTGACATATAAGAAAGTCCATGAAATTGTTGTTTTCACATATGTCAATCATGAACACATCTTTTCCTGACTGAATGGAAACAGCACACGTGCACTGCGGGAAAGGGTATTTTGCGTGGCATTTCTCGTGACGAGTTTGAACCTTTAGAGAGTAAAGAAAACATTCAGATATTTATTCACCATTCACCAAATTTAATGTTTTTTTTTTTTCAATGAAATCTTTACAAATACAAATATTTGTCTACATATCTTACCTCTTGGTTGTATTTCCAATTACGATACAGGATAAACTCTCCTGCAATGTGGCTATCAAATGCCCTGAAATTTGAAGTAAAATTTACTTATATGAATTTGATATATAAACAATATCCAGGAACCAAAAGAGTAGAGTTACATGTAAAGATGCCATGCCTGGACTTAAGAAAAGAATGTGATATTTTTTCCTTTGATAAATGTATCAAAGAAAAAATTGGACGGAAAACTTCATCAATGCGCGTAGCGCATTGATAAAAAAGTTTTCCGTCCAATTTTTTTCTTTGATATATCGATCAAAAGAAAAAATATTACATTCATTTCTTATCATTTAATTATGTTTTTAAATCTATAAAACGAAGTTTTCTTTCACTTTTCTGTTAAATTTACGCATCAAAAACCGTGCGCACGAATACATCACAACAACGTTGACGTTGCCGAAATTCAAAATGGCTCAAACGAAAAAACGTTCTCAGATAATGTTGTGTCATTACTAGCATTCTCTGAGATAATTTACAGTTCTTTAACACAATAAACTTACCTGTTGTGTTATCTCAATGGGTATATTTTTCCCGGTAAGTTATCTAAGTTCATGAATGTAACAAAGGGAAGCTACTCAAATATCCTAACGGTTCTAGATCACTGAAATTTTGGATTTCATTTGCGGATCTTTTCACCTGAATTTCAAATCGAACATATAGATACGTATCAAAATGCTGTAAAACCTGAAAGAGTCTGCTGCCGACTGTTTAAGATTAAAAGAATTCCGTCCACTCTTCATTCATGTAGTGTAGTTTTTCGCGATCATTCGTTTCCCAAGAATTAACAGATAAACGGTCTTCCCCGCTTTGGTAGCATAAAAAAACATTTCTTCAGAGTTCTGTTGTTCATACCAGATATCTTAAAGTCAAATATTTAACAAAAGTATGCCGATTTCATTTCTTCTCTCCCAAAACTGTATTGTTGTTATGCAGACGATGTGATTTGTTTAGCAAAGGGGGATAATTCAAAAAAGAAACGAAAGTAGAAAATAAGTCAGAAACTAACGGACAAGTTTCGAAATTCAGGAAAATATTTATTTAAGTAAAAGTATTTAATTACGGTATTCCTTCAAAAAGTAATCTGGAGGCGGGAATATATACAGGCAAAGACTGCCAAAGTAGTTTCGGCTGTTTAGTGCAAGCGAACTCTAGATTTTATTGATGCAGTTATCAAAATAATTTTTTATCCAATCAGAATCAAGTATTTTATAGAAATTAAATGATTTAAAAGTCAATTAAATTCTTTAAGAGATTCATTTCTTACACTCCATCAAATGTATATAGATGAGGATCAGTTTTTGAACCGCAAGATTTCCCTTTCCACCTTTCTTCCGCTTCAAAAATTTCTATCTGTAAAAAAAACAAAAGTTTTCCAATATGATAAATATTTATGTTTAAATCTTTGATAAACTAAAGGGTTTCTGGTTTTACTTACAGAGGTATTGTCTAAAGACATATGATGAAAAAATCCATCTTGAATTTCACTTGTTTTTAAGGAAAGTGTCGCTGTTTTGTCGAAGTTATATCCATCTGAGTCAATGTGATAGACCGTGATATAGTGAGTTTTTCGCCAATCATCTAATTCATACTTGGTCTTGTCGTCATAGGAATACGCCTTGATTTCTAGAGTACACTGATCAACACCTATAGAGCCTTTACAGCTATTCTCTGACATAGAAATAATGTTACTGTGAATCATCAAGGGGTGGAGCGCCTTAAGGGTATCATTTAAAATAATTATTTGTGTCACAAACGGAACGGTCAAATAAAAACCGATCTGAGCTTTGCCTTTCCTGGGAAGACTAACTTTAGTTTCATTCATCTGTAAAAAAGAAAATTAGGATCAAATGTTGCACTTGTTCGAGTTTAAGGCATTTAAATACAGATTCATGAATTGCTGATTAATATGTAAATGATCATTCTTTCATCATCAAATTTCGTTTATCCCTACAATTTAAAACAAAATAATTTGATATTAGACATGTATTT